AGAACTTAATCATTTTCCTATGTGATAATCTCATTTTACAGCCATTGCAATTTAGCAATTATTTATACATTGACTTAAATCACACAAAAAAGCTTAAAGTAAGTGATTTGGAAGCTGTCACTCTCAGCTCTTGATGACTTATATTAAATAGTGATAGTTGGACTTTGGCCATAGCTGATTATTCATGCCACAAAAAGAGAGTGCTCTGAAACTGTCAGACCAAATTCTATTGTCTTGGCTTGCTCAGATGTTACTAATAAAAAGTGAATGGCCTCTTGTCTCCTCTGGTTTGATCTTGTAATATGTTGTATGTCTGTTTTAAAGCAGCACTATTTATTAAACCGTGTTCGAAAAATTCTATTTAGAGCCAGCCATTCCTTTCACATTTTGTGCACATAGCAACAGCCATCACTATTCTGTCTGACACTTCCATAATAGATTGCAGAGAGGAACGCTGGCTGAAATTTGTTACGCTGTCTGGGAAGACTGATGAGTCTGACGGCTTAAATGCACAACTCCATACTGAGAAAGATTTGAAGTAAATGCTTACTTGGTTTGCTGTAGTATTGCCGTAGCACTGCTCCACTCACAGTCAGCAACGGAGGCATAATTTTCGACAGACAAATCTTTGAACAGTTCTTCTGAGAACTTAAAGCCTATATCCTCTGCATGCCTGTTCTGTCCATATATTAGTCATACGTTACAAATGTGTAGTTCCGCAAATGTGTCTTCCTAAATTTCTCAAACATAATTCAGACAGTCTCAGAATGCCTAACAGCTGACTAAAGTAAACTAAGCTCTTCTCGGGAATATTTTAATGCCTTGCTGAAAGTTTTCTAACCTGACATGCCGAGGCTGAGGAGAACTTTAGAATTTAATTGTTTGCTCCGCCGTTGGTGACTGGAAAACCATAACAATGCAAGTGCATTAAAAGCTTGAATATTTCAAAACACTTAAGCAAAGAAAATATAAAAATTTCATACTTTCAATGAAGTTGCAAAATCCCATTTTTCTTCACCAGAATACTGGCATAAGCTGAATTATAAAAGAGCTGTGTGGGAGTGTTTTGACACCGATGTGTGTTAGTAAAGGTTATATATTGATGAACTTCGCAGGTGGGGGTTATGCTTTATAGTGTGTATGGAAAGGGTGTGTTTTTTTTCTTTTCATCCGTTCTTATTGGTGTTGCACTTACTCCATTTTGAGGCTACATTGGTGATGCCCCAGCAGAATGAAGTTTTATGACAAGTCTTAGCTGGATGGAATTCTTGTGCTCATTACACACAATCCCTGTGATGAATATTGATTATACATATGAGGTAGTACTACAGCTAACAATTATTTTAACTATTGATTAAGCTGCGCACCATTTTCTTGACTCAATTGATCGTTTGGTCGATAAAATGTCGAAAATAAAAAATGCAAATGGAGTTCACTAGAGTTCCTTGTGTCCTCTGGATTGTCCTCTACAGTTTGCTCTGAGACTCATGCCTCCTAATCAGTCATGTTATGTGCCTGTCCACATAACATGAGGTGTTAGGTGTTAATCTGTATTGTCAATGTCCAACAGTCCAAAAGCTAAAGATATTCATTGTACAATAGTATAAAATAAAGCAAACCAGCATATCCTCACAATGGAGAAGAACTGGAGAATGTTTAGCATTGTGCTTACAAAATGGCTTAAACAAATGATCAGGAAAACAGTTGCAGCTAGTATAGGCATTTGTAAAGGGGTAAGTATAGAAGAGATGAATCTGTTTCAATATTTTTTTGAAGTACACAAGATTGCATGCCCACTGTGATCTGAGCACAATAACAACAAAGCAAAAGAAAGGGAGAAGAAAAAATGAAAACACAAAGTATCAGCCCCCTCCCAATCCACAGAGATATACATGTTACTTTAATTGGATGAGTTTGACAGATAGTGAACATAACCACTTCTTTATAACACAGTCAAGATAGTCCCAGTGAGCTTTAATCCAGACTTCCAGGGCTTGGCTTGAAAAACAGCAATGTATGTAACAATGTATGTTCACAGCTTCAAATTCATATTTCTGATGGATTTGCTTTGATTTTATGTCAAGATTGGAGCTTTAATTATATAAAGTCAATATAGCAAATCAAAGCACTTAGTTAAACCTAATCAGTAATCATTATTCACACACTGTCAGTCACATTCACACACTGATACTGGTGTAGTTCTATACTAACACTGTATAGAATATTTGGCAAATTTAATCTGTTCAACCAATTTAGTATTAATGTGATTAATCAAGAGCCACATCTCAACAGAAGGTGTTTCTTTACTTTACTATCCCACAGTGTTGACAAAACGTGTGTTAAGACCAGAAAATTGGAAGACTGGACTTGAAAAGCATATATAGTATAATAATGTTTTAGTTTATTTATCATAAGTTATTGGAGGTAAATGAAGGAAAAGGCTTTGTTTTTAACAGGAACAGTATACTGTAAAACTTTATATTTATTTTCTCACTCCATTTGAACCATTTCACTGAATGCATTCGTTTATGTTTTTGTCTTGTCTAATAACCTTTTCCTGCCTTTTGTCACTTTCCATGTATGGCAGGGTGATTCCCGAAAATCATTATTCTGCTCAGTCACTTTTCTTTGAATTGCCTCATTATTATTTGCCCCAGAGCAAATACTGTATACCCAATATCAGCGTGTTTTGCAATAGAGATAAATTAAGTTCATCGCCATGTTTTTGGTTTCACACTTTGACACTTTCCTTTCATCTCACCACCATACCACTTCCTCTTTGCAGCATGAACATTCCTCCATTCCTCCTCTTTAAACCCTGGCTTGCGTCTCTCTCTCTCTTTTTCTCTCTCTGTCTCTGTGGTGTGTTTCCTCGTCTCCCTCTCTAAACCTATTCTCCATTTAATCAGCTCTCTCAGGACTCAGTTCTGTATAATTAGAGACTGAAACTTTAATCACCATGGATCCGGGGCAGGGAGAGCAGGGCATTTCAAATAGACACAAGCAGGAAATTAGCATGAAAGAAGGTATGGAAACGTAGAAACGAATGTGACAAAAATTGCTTCATCTAAAGTCATGACATTGATTAAGTGCACATACTCACAGACAGTGGAGACATGTCCTAGGTTCACGCAAGACAAATAAAAGTCGAAACTTCCATCTCATAATCAGGTCTGGTAGTTCTTGACTTGTTCACAATGCTCAGCTAATTGTTCCATGGCGGCATTGTGCAGCTGAATGAAAAGGTCACAGTTTGCAGGAGGTCCTTACATAACAACAGCTGTCTCCTCACCTCCTTTCCTCCTGTCTCCTCCTATCTGCTCACCTCTACCCTCATCTTTTTCTGTCTTTTTTCTTGTATCCATACTGGCATTCATTTGACCCTTTCCTGTATAACAACATATTCTCTCCACTCTCCCCCTTTACTTATTAATCTGGCTGGAGACCATTCACCTTTGCTGTATTAACATTTTGGCAGACATTTATCGTTTTCTGGAAAACTCTGCCAGCTCCAGTGTCAAGTGTCACCTACTTCTTCCAAACTTTTAGTGTTTACCTCAATAAAACACAAGATGGGAATTAAAAAGTGAATATCGAGATGTTTGGCTGCCTATTTCACTTGAGTTTGAGAGGGAAAGTTAGCTAAAGTTAATCTGGACTTGTGTGGGGTTCAGTTTATTTATTGTGCAAAATATAACTGAGATAGTTATAATAACAATGTGAAAGGGCCTGTAGTGAATAACCTACAGACAATTATTACCTGAATCAGCACATCCCTTCTTCTTTTACGAAGCTTTATAGTGAGTTTCAGCTCAGTGTTCAACTTGAACCCCACATTGCTTCTTATTTGACCGGGCCACAGTATGAAACCAACTTTATGGCTCAAAAGTCAAACCTCTCCATTTTTGTAACATGATAAATGTCTGTGTCCTGAGAGTCCCACTGTAGGCCTGGAAAGCTGCTAGTTAACAAGGGTTGAACCCTGCTTCATGTTTAAAAGTGACACTGATGTGAGTCGACGGGGCAGACTTGCTAAGTTCCTGAGCAGAGAGTCTTGGCCAGCTGACGAGGTGGAAACATGTTAGTCACTCAGTGCAGACACAGCTGTTGTGTACCACTCAGCAAACTGAGTGGAGACAAACCTACATCTTGGGCCTTTTTACTTAAATGTTGTTGTTTAATTTAGCTGGTGTAGTTGATGTTTTGGGCCCCTGAGAACCAGAGACATAGTTTAGCTGCACATTTATAACGTTACGATACTCATCAACTGCAAACTTTTAATGCTTTGACCTGCATATAGTCAGTCAGTATACACCTGAAATGGGTATTTTGACCTATCGGATTGTATGTTCTTATTACAGTAAAGGTGAAGTTAGGCAAACTTTGTTGTTTATCCATCTCTGCTATCCAACTTTCTAAGTGTCCTTTCTCTCTTCGCTGGCATCACAGAGCTGCAGACAACTTTTTTTCATTTGTTGGCTGGGCTACAAATATTCAGCAGACGTTATTAGTGCTCCTATTGTGAGCTGCCAAGCTATTAAAGATGCTGATATATTAAAGTGCACCACAGATCATGTTTTAATGCTGACAGATTGTTCCCAATTATACCCTTAAATCTGTAAGCATGCCAAATGTGCAGCAGGACATACACTTCCACTGCAATGAAGAGATGTCAGAATGTGTGTGCGCAGCAGTGCGGCTGTCTGTCAAAGCATATGCTTGCATGTACAGGTGAAACAATTAGTCAATTAATCGATTCGCCAACAGAAAATTACATAACAACAATTTTGCTAAGTAATTAAGTGGTTAATCTTTATTTTCCAAGGCAAGATTTTAAAATGTTGCTGGCTTCAGCTTCTCAAATGTTAAGATTTCTTTCTTTTCATTGTCTTATATTAAATATATTAAGGTTTTAAAACTGTTATTCCTACAAAACAAGCATTTTGAATAAGTCATCTTGGGCTACTATTCTAATGTACTGTTTTGGTCTGTTTTCCTAGTATGAATTCAAGGCCAAGAACATCAAGAAGAAGAAGGTCAGCATTGTGGTGTCTGTGGACGGGGTCAAGATAATGCTGAGGAAGAAACAGAAGGTAAGTGACTAGTGACAAACTGTAAAAGAAATTAGATATAATAATTTTCCGTTGGATTCACAAAGTTAACCCCACAGTCTGTAACACTCAATAAAAAATGCTTCATCGGTGCTTAATCACAATCATCTGTCTCCTACACAGAGAAAAGAATGGTCATGGGACGAGAGCAAGATGATGATCATGCAAGATCCCATTTACAGGTCAGTCACAACTCTCAATCTTTGACATATTAAGATGTTTATACTGTGTGTAAAACAAATTTAAAATCTTGCTATCTTTGTCACTTGCTTTGTACACTCAGGGGATTAAACTGTATGATATTCAGTCCCGTCTGCTCTTTGCACTCAGCATGTTCCTGTTATCTTAACCAAAGTAATTACTGTGAGTATACTGCACATAATACATACTGTATGCCTCTCAGTGGAAATAAGATCCTTCAACTCGGCCTCTGCGGATGAAGCTGAAGCTTGCTTTATAGGCCATCACATGTACTTTACCATGCAGGACTAACGTGCTTGAATGTGCTATACTGTATATGCCAAATGCAGTTACATTCATAAGACAGCATGATGAATAATCTATAGCTTGTGCGTGTAGATGGAAGAGCTTGTGTTTGTATACTTTAAAGTGTAATTTTTCCAGTGGAAGCACGCCTACTCCCAGATTATATTCTAGAGTATTTAAGTCCATCTATACAACAAAGTTGAGTTTGTTTAACAAATATCTCAGCGTGTCTTCCCAAAAGAAAATGCATTAGTCAACCAATCATCAGCAAGCCTGTGAAGCTGTCCGTCACTGCTAAACAGCTCACAGAAATTAAACTGTAAAGTGTCAAATTGATGTCTGTCAGGTGCTGAGAAGTGAAGGAAGGAATAGAGTGTGAACTAAAATTAAAGATATAATTTTTGCTTAGGAAGGAATTACTAAATGTGGGGGTTTTTTTTCTTGTTCTTTTGTTGGCTGACTTTAAAACAAGCAATTATAGCTGGAAATGGATGGAAATCCCAGAGATGGAACGGAGTGGGTGACCACCTAAAAATGCCTTAACATTAAACACCAGCTTGTGTGTGTGTGTGTGTGTGTGTTTGTAAATTATGTATGTATCTGTGGGAGGATCTCATTTGGCAAAGCCACACCTCATCAAGGGACTGTGTGTGTTAAATATAATTATCCTTGCTCGTGTTTCTGTGCGTGTTTGTGCACTGGGGGATATATAGTACGCTCTGTGTGATGTGACTTTCAGTAGCACTGTAGATGGTCATAATTTGTTTGCCTGGTTCCCAGTGGACGTGTTTTATAGCAGTGGCGCTACAGTTTGAGATGCAGGGCTGACCCTTTGCTCTGCCAGTTTACTGCAGAGTGTGCTGTTGCAGGGTTGCTGGCAAGTACAGAAGCAGACGGGACAGCATACTTTTACAGTACAAATTGTAAATACAGTGTTCTCTTTTCATTTAACGTCTATGCATTAGGTCAGTTGTTGATTTCTAAACTGGGTTTTAATGTAATTTGAGGATGGTGATGGTCAAGAAAGGGTTGGCTCATGTGCAAAAAAACTTCTTTTACAATTTGAGGTTTTTGCAGCTTTTGTGAATTTAAATTCGGTGTCATGTTTTGCAGGATTTTCTACGTGTCTCATGACTCCCAGGACTTAAAGATCTTCAGTTACATTGCAAGAGATGGTTCCAGTAATTCCTTCAGATGTAATGTCTTCAAGTCAAAGAAGAAGGTACAAGAAGTCCACCCATACACCTCCTGATTGTAGACGGCTGATTACAGTTTGACATTCCGGAAAATATGCTTTTTCGCTTTCTCGCCAAGGGTTAGATGAGAATATCGAGGCGGTTAGCTTCGCTTAGCACTAAGGCTGGGAAGTTCACTACAAAACAGTTTTCTGTTTGGCTTAACTCTTTAATACACATTAAAGGAACTGTTCGACCTTATGTAAAATAAGCCTATTTGCTTTCTTGCCAAGAATTCATTAGGAGATCAATACCACTTTATATCTGTATATATATGTTCGTTAAATATGAGCCAGGAGGCGTTTAG